TAATGGAGTGGTATGCAAAACTAAATTAGCAATCCTATACTTCATCTCTTAAAAGATGAAGATTGATTTCATATACATCTTGGTAGACCGATTCTCGACGATCAAGAAGTCGATCGAGGGAAGAATTGTCATGGGTGGTTTTATCATCAAAATTAATGAGAAAGTGAAGATGTTTCATTAGCATAACACCATCTTAACCCAAACAAAAGGGTTAGAGCAATTTACTCTTAAAAATTGGTTTGCTAGGGAAGAAAGGAGTAAGATATCTCACTTGATCAACCAAAAGAAAAAAGAGGAAAGTCGAAGGTGACAACGATGATGAAGGCAAAGATGAGGCCTAATCCACAGTCGAAATGGGTGCCTCAAATGGATATGTAGAAAGAATGGAGCAATTGGCATCGAGGTTAGATGACTTTCAACTTAATGTCAACAACTACTTTAACATGTTACATAAACAAATATAGACAATAGACCAAAATGTAAATAGTCAATTTGAAACATTGAACGAGCACATTTAGGCCATAAATGCCAATACCATAGCCGGCTTTCAAGCAATCAATACTTGGCTCGACCATCTTTACGTTATCTTCGTGATGCATTTTCCACTATTACCATCACCTCTATACTATAGGCGATTGTCCAAATTTGCTTTCTTATCCTTATCTTTATCTTTTATGTTTTGTTTTTCATTTGCTAAATTATGCATATATTGAGGACAATGTATGATTCAAGTGTGAGAGTGCGTTTAGCATTTAGGTTTTTATTGTTTGTGTTTTTGTTTTGTATAATTTGTGTGTTTATTTTGTACCCCTATATAAAAAAATAAAACGAATGCCATGTTTAGTATGATTTTCTTCATGATTGATGTTTAATGGTTGAATTCAATAAAATTTGATGAGATGAATGAGAATGTTTGAGATATTATTGTTATAGAAGTGCATGCATACTAGAGAGCCTTATTTGTCTTCATGATAAAAAATAGTTTAGGAAGAAATACTATCTTGAAAGAAAAACAAACCCTTTGGAATTTAAACCTAAGCACGATTAAAATAAACAAGATTTCCTGGTGTTTATTTGAGAAAAAAAATGAAAAAGTATCCCATTAAAAAAGCTGACCTAAGTAATTAAGAATTCTACTCCAATGATTTGAGTTGCTTAGTAACTAGGAATATTCATCATAAATATTTATTTTTACATCAAATAACGATTCAAATTATGAGTATACAAAGTACTCTAAGTTGATGACTTACTAAGTAACTCGTTAATTTCATCACAAATGTTGGCAATCGTGTAAAAAGGAAAGTGATCATTTAGGAAAAAAAATATAAAGGCCTTTGGGGAAAAAAAAAGAATTTAGGATGCTTAAAATGGAAATATTTTGGTTAAAAGAAAATCTCTGTTTATTACCTTATAATAATAGAAAAGGGGTAAAAGATAGAGTTGGTGTTGTATGCTTAAATTGTGTTTAGTTATAAAGATGCATAAGCCAATTTAGAGACATATATTAATATGATAATAATATCTAGAACATGATCGAGTTGAATGTTGAATTTTATTGAATTCTAAATTGAGTGTCAATGTTTGAAGAATAATCATATTAGCATGACATTTGTTTGAATGAATTTATGGGTTTATAGTCCGAAAATCCTCACGAGATACAACTCGTCCACCGAGGATAACCTAGGGGTTTAAAGACTTGTTGCATGTGCTAAATCCAACCACGATTCCTACGAAAGTAAGTTAGGTTTTTATTTTATTTATTTTGTTCGAGGACTAGCAAAGTTTAAGTGTCGGGGCATTTGATAAGTGTATAATTAGCACGATTTTATGCTCTATTACATTAAACTTTCTAGTACTTATTGTATTATATTATGTTATTTAATAATAAGATGATGGTTTTATAGGAAAAACGATGAATCGGAGTAAGAAAATCCAAAGATTTTGAGTGAAACTTTATGAGGCTTAGAGCGATCATATGGTCGTATGAAATAATAAAGAAAATAGCTACCGACCATATGACTTAAAGTAGGAAACCATATGAAGTCTCAAGCGTAATAAGCCACACGGGCGAGAACCATTTCCACATGACCAGTGTGGGTGTTTGAACTTAGCAGAACTAAAGGAAAGAAGAAGACCACGTGGGCGATAGGCTTTTTACACGATTTACGGTGTAGAATCACACGTCCATGTCCTAAGAAAAAGAAGGTATACACGGGCGAAAGCAATTCAACACGGTTTGCAATGTAGAGCTACATGCCTATGTCTCTAAGGAAAAAAAGGTATACATAGGGTAGAAAAAATTCAATACAATTTGCGGAAGGAATATACACGAGGCAAAAGCTTGGCTACACGGAATGAAGAACAAAGTTACACTACCGTGTGCCTTAGTTAGCAAGTTGTGTGACACTTAATTTCCAAGGCTTTAAACTGTGTAATATCAAGCAACAAATCATATGACTTTATGTATCAAGTTGTGTGACCATGTAATGCCAACACAAATGTGATGTAACCCTAGTTTTGGGTATAAATAGCAAAGCTAGGGTATTATTTGGCTCTCTTTTCTCCTCTCTTCTAGCTCTTTTATAGCCACCATTAATAAAAATTCTTTGTAATACATTATGAACAACTAAACTCCATTCTTTATTGAATCAAGCTAAAGCTTTTGGTTAATCGGTATGAGACTATTGGTTTTATTTCTAAACTTATCTCTCGTTGGGTATTTTATGTGTTTTCTCTTTGTAATACATTATAAACAACTAAATGTCATTCTTGGTTGAATCAAGTTAAAGTTTTTGGTTAATCACTATGAGATTATTGGTTTTATTTCTAAATTTATCTCTGTTTGGTATTTTATGCGTTTTCCGCATTATTGGTTCATAGTTATATGATTAATTCAATTAGAGTATATGCTTGGTTGTTTAGTCATATTACTTATTGCTTATCTAAACTTGCTTATAGTAGTAATTAGGGGTTGATGATTATATGATTTTTTCGTTCAATTTCTTGAAAAACATAAAACTAGGTTATATCTTTTGTAGCACTTAGGAATGTGGCTTTATTTCACTTGCCTTTCTCATCTTAATATTGTTATTGGATGAAATTTATCTACCATTTAGTAGGTTGTTCAATAGTTAGGGAATTAACTAGGTATCGTATATTTAATTAACGACTAGATAAGGAAAGACTAAGGTCAACATACATATTGTTATCTTATGGTGAATATTCATGTTAGGATGAGTTAATTATTTAATCAATTATCGGTGACCAACCAAAAGTGGTTACCGAAGTTCAACCAAAGCCTCTCTCATATTGTTATCTCTTATTATTTTATATTATTTTCAAGCATTTCAAACATACAAAACCACTTTATATTATTTTCAAGCATTTCAAACATATAAAACTCTCTTTTTATATATAAGAACACTTAAATAACTCGAAACAATTGAACTGATTTTCTTTTCCTATATATTCGATCCTTACTTATCCCGATTATATAATTGTTATTAAAAATTCTATAAGGATATATTATAAATTACTTATTTGTTAGTGATAGGATAATTTATAAAATACACTATTTATTTATTTATTTTTTTTCAACTTCAATCTTTCTTGGGTTTAATTTTTTAATGAATTATATTGAAATCACTCGCCAATCAAATCCATCTATCATTGATTTCCACCTTTCACATGTCCAATCTGATCATGCCCCATAATTCACGTGTTAGCAGAACAAATAAAAAAACAACAGGTCACAGTAATCCTCGACTTGGCAAATGATGCAGGTTGCTCAAACATGCGTCGTACATGCATTGATTTGACATTAATTTGACAGTAAAAGAAATCCATCAGGATATCCCAGGTGAAGAAGAAGCTCACGCCTCAAATTAAATGCTACCGACTATTATTATTTTATTATTACAATTTTTATTTTTTCGTACAGAAGAATACCATATATTCTTTTTACAGTACTGTGAAAATGTAGGAATTCACGGTCCGATGACAATGGGGTAAAACAAAAAAAACTATAATTTCCCTGTCTAAAAAAGATTGTCATTTTTTTATTTATATTTATTTCAAAATAGTTATGTGGTTAAAATTTTAAATATTATATATATTTTTAAATATCCCTAATCACTTTTTTTTCATTTCTTATTTTTTACTAACACGAAAATCAAAGATAAAAAAGATTGATGTGTCATAATTTTTTAAAGCTAAGTGAAAAGTGAAAAGTACTAACATTTTGAAACAAAATGAGAGGCACCATCATAAAAATTATAAACCCAAACTTGAAAATGAAGCAAATTAATAATAATAAAATTGAAGAGAAAATATGTTTTTTATAAAAAATCAAAAGATAATAAAACTTTGCGGCTCCATGACCTCCAAAACTTAATGTAGTATATTTTTGTGTAGACTGGGATCCATTTAATATAAAATAAAAAATAGATGGATTCAATAATTTTTTAAAAATAAAATATTTTAAAAAAATATCAAAAAAAATCTGAGTAAAATCCAATTTGAATATTTTAGATGGCAACTTAGTCTCCACAACTAACTTTGTAATGTAGCTCTTAACCCAAAACCCAATTTTGAAAAATTTAGATCGCAACAAACAATGTTGGGCAAATCTGTAATCCCCACAATAAACTTTGTAATTTAACTATTAGGGGGTGGAAGGGAGGGGTGGGGTCGCTCTTTAAACCTAAAATACATGCTAGTTTTTGGAGGAGCTAAATTGAGAGACGACAAACAAGCTTCATTTTTGTTCTTAAACATAAAAATTAAAAATAAAGCTTCATTGCAATTGGAAAAGGTACATGATCCATCAAGTTGGATGAGAACATGTTTACCACTTAAAACAAGTACTCCATTACAGACAATCTGCAAGAATTAGGCCATGGAAGTTGAATGGATCATGATAACAAAAGTCAACATCCACCCCATCAATCTTGCAAGTCATTGGTTTTCCCGATGCAAACACCCTCATTTCTCCACTTCCCTTAACCCCAATTCTTCAAGTTTTCATCATCAATAACCGTTGGTGACTTAATTGCACCCCCAGTATTAAGCATGTTCACTAATCCAAGGGGAGCCAACTGAACTAATTTTCTTGGCAATACTGTCACTGGAGAAACTGTAAACAGCTCATAATTGAATGGTTCAAGGGAAATCTCCAAGTTGTCTGATGACTTCAACAGCTTCACTTTCTTTTCTTTAAAAGAATAAACAGCAAATTTGTCTACTCCTGTGACAGATATTGGGCTCTTTCCACTGTTCCATTCAATATCTTTAGGACTGACCAAACTGATTACAGTGCGTGAATATTGGTTGGAACTCTTGTTTCTCCTCGATAAAGGGCACCATCCTCCTCCTTGGCAATTGAAAATTCCTAGAACTCCTGTATGCTGATGCAAATACAAAAGGTAAGTCACTAAATATTCAAGGACTGTTGTTACAATAAAAATTTAGGCATAACTAAAAACAAAGGGTGTGTCATGTCTTACTTTGTTAAGGTTCCAAATCTTGAGCATGGTTTTCCCATCATGTAATGGGTCTTCAAAGAGAGAATCTCTCGTAGGAAGTGCATAATATTGGCAGCGCAAAATATACCCATCAGGCAACACTAAGGCCTTGAGCAACTTGAAGTTGTGATAGCCAACAGAATCACTCACATAAATTGGTCCACCGGAAATAGCCCTTGATGCAGCATGGAATTCAGCACAAGGATGGGTGGATTGGAACATATCCCAATCTAGGTGTATAAAATTGCCCATCCACAAGCTATTGTAGGCACAATAGCCAATATGTCCCATTCGGATCTCCTGATGGGTCACTGCACCAAAAATCATCCCCTGATACATATATATATATCAAAAGATTGCTAAATGTTACCCAAAAATCTCTAAATTATTTTATTTTTTTCTTGTGAAATGTTTAGATTGAATTTAAAGGCATACCAACACGTCCTAGAGCAATGGCCTCTGTACCAAGGAACATAAAGTCATTGCAATGCTCCATGCTAGCAATGACACCATTCGCTTTGAAATGCTTCTTCACGGAAGCCGTTAGTGCCTTGTAATAAGCTTCAGCAAGAGCCACCCGACCGCCAAATTCCTCAGATAGCATTTCTAGCAGCTGCAAGAACCCATTTGATCGAAAATTACTATATCCAGGAAATTAATACACAGAATTTCCCTTGCTTTCAATTAAATAAAACGACAAGGCATGGGTATATTTTTCGCAGCCCAATATTTGTTTTAAAGGAACTCAATTAGGGTGGGCTGTCTCTTGAAATACGTACACCACAGACAAAACATTGGGCTAAACTGGTATTTGGGCTGTCTCTTGGGCCAACATTTTTTTTTCCTTCTGTGGAGAATACATATTAATTGTCGGCTATTACCAGCTTTGACACGGTTTATTTCGTATGTTCAATTGTTGGTTTATTATTATTATTATTATCTTTTATGAATAAACGGCAACTGTTTTGAAGAATCTAGAAGAAAATTAAAGTGTCATTGCATGCAATCACAGGACCAACAAATGTCATTTTGGTACAGACAAATGGCAAGCATGCTTAGCTAATGAAAATATGTAGGAAGAGAGGCGTGACAAGAGGACACACACCAACGACATGAAACACTCAGTCTCAGTACAATGAATCCTGCAATTGCAATTGCAATTACAAAAATGCATGCTTGCATATTGCAGTTGCTTACTAATTAAAGTTTTTTCAGATAAATTAAATCTGATTAGAGATCAAAGTTTCATAAATTCAAAAACAAAAAAGATGTCTAGAACATGCTTACTGGCCCATCTGGAAATGTACATCTTACAATAATTCAAGGTTCACTAGACCCAATAATTAATTAAGAAAAATTAATGTGGTTCTTACTTCAAATTTAATTCTTAATACAATTTATTAAATATATAATTAATAAATAGATTTTTAATTTATGAAGTTACACATAATTAGGTTTGGTCTAACAATTATATATTTAATAGTTTCTTTTATCAAAATAATAATAATAATAATAACAATAACAATAACAACATTCAAATTCTAATGATCTTAGTTTCTTAGATGGTACGTTTTTAAATAAAAATAAATATTAAAGCTACTCATTTCAAGGGTACCTAAGGAAATAAATTGGTGATGATGTTTCGTTAACTCATTAAAAAAATAATAAATAAAAAAAATCAATCAACCTGAGCTTTCCAGTGGGCTTATAAAGTCCCATAATCCTTGGAATATGTAAATATTTGATTTTTTTTTTTAATCACATTTTGTTAATGCTATGGAAAAAAAATAATAAAAAGCAATACCTAGTAATTAATTTTCAGGAACTTACATGAATAACATCAACTTTGACACCATCGATCCCAACAGATCGGAAGTCCCTCATACATCTTATAGGCTCGCTCTGGTGGGACCAATCCTACTCCATTATTGATGATCTTATCCACTGCTAGATCTCCCATTGTCATCTGCAAACCCGGTGACAACTTAGGTCTAATGACCCTAGACTCAGGCACATTCCCTCCGACATTGGGCCTTATCCCACCCCAATATCCACAAAGAGCATGCCAAACATACACATGTTCTTCCGTCCCAAACTCCTCTTTAAGGTCTCTTATAAACGCTCTCATTCGCTTGCCAGAGGCTACATTAGGACTCTCATAGTCCCTAAACTTGTAATTCTCTTCAAATTTTACTAATCTCCAAGGCATTTGCTCTCCAGCAGCCGTAGGATTCAGTCCTTGTAGCTCCCTAATAGGATTATCATCATGACATATTGACTGCCATCCATCGTCAATGAGAACCATACCTTGGAGGGCACCGACCACCCTCCACTAGGCCCTTAACACCTTCCCATACTCCTTTAGGGTCTACAGTAAGACAAAATGCATCCTAGGTGCACCAACCAAATTTGTCTACGATAACTGGTGGGGTTTTCCCTTCCAGAAGTCTAAAAGTGTCCAAGTGGACTCTAATCTCCTTCATGGCCTCCTTAACAAGACTGTAAGGATCCTCACCAACATGCAATGTATAAGCAGCTCCTGAAGCTGGACCCACATACTTGGGTGGACCCACTTTCCGCACAAATTTCGACGCTGTCATCAACCCCTGGCTGAAGAGAAGTCCTGAAAGGTCCTTCAAGGAGAGGAAGTAGCAGAACGTAGGGGCGTCCCCAGTCATTGCTGTCCAAAATCATATTCTGTGTCTCATGCTCCCCATCTTTTCCACTACTGCCGATCCAGTGGGTTGTCCACCAGATCTTGAACCTGAATATGCTCACGAATCTTATGCCACTAAGCTTGCCAAAGGAAACAGCATGTTGGCTTTTGGATTCATAAGCATCAAACCCCACAAAGCAGCCAACCAAGTTCTTGGCCTTGTTTGAAGAAATAAATGGTGACGGTGTGGCTATAATATTAATAAGGACTTCAGTGAGAATTGGATGGCCATTAGCAAGAAAGGTTCTTCCTTCGAGAGTTATTGACAAAGGTTGTTCACCATCCACTAGCCCCACAACATCCAGAGCATTCTTGCTTAAGCTAGGAGCCATTGAACGAAACTAGCTAGCAAGTTAATTAAAACAATATATATGGAAATTGAGACTTAATTTGTGTTCTTTGTTTTGGCTAGTGAAGGGACGGAAGTGAGGGAATGTTTCTATATTTTTGTTTGTTTTTGTTGGCGATCAACAGGGTGGCGAGCGAGAGGTGCTATGCATTGTAATTATAATCTGCATGGACGAATCTTAGAATCTGCTGCTTGGAAGGGCTAAAATGCAACATTTTTCATTCTACGTCACCATCAAGTTTGAAACGTTTCAAAGAATAAGGAGGATCTTAAAATTTTTGTAAACTTAGTTGGCCATCGGCAGCCTAAGGCCTAAGCTACCATTTAGATTGGTTGTCCCTAATTAGAGAGGGAATGTAGAATATGAAGTGATATGATAATAATAATAATAATAATAATAATTGTCATAACCCAATTTTTTACTTTAAAGGAAAAAAAATAAAAAGGATAATAAAACAATAAAATATAAAATATAAAATCTCCATAAAATCATTCAAAAATACTGTTCAAATCTTTTTTAATTAGAATCTCCTTATTTTTAGCTAGAAAAATCTCAAAATTAAGATTCGATAATTAAAATTTGATTTTTGAATTGATTTTGAGAGAAATTTTAGGACGTTTTCGACTTATAAAAAGCTTTCGAATTCCAATTCGCGAGGAAGAGAAAAAAAAGAAAAAACGCAGCAAAAAAAAAAACAAAAAATACGAAAACCTAAAAAGAAAAAGCCAAACATGCCACTAACCCAATAACCGGACCCGATTACCCGTTTACCCAATTGAAACTTTTGAGCCTCGATTGATCATTTTCCGATCGGATTTTGACCCCGATCAACACACCCACGTGTAGCCCATCACTAGATCGGTCCATCAACACCGGTTAGAGAGAGAAACAATCACGGAGGAGAGAGAAATCGAAGATCAAACCACCACGACCCGACTCGAATAAATACTCGCTCGTTTCTCTCAAATTCGATCACCAACACGAAATCGATCACCACGGACACGATCGTCGGTCTCACGTGAGTATTTTCATGTAAAATCCATGACCTAACGACATCGAAAAACGATTTAATTGAACTCGACCCATTTTGTTAAACTCGAAAAAATTGGTCGATCTATGAAAAATTGGAGGTCCTAACCACCACGGAACTTCTTCTCTCGACCCTGCGAGTCAAGCTGGTGTGCTTGAAACCCCAAGACAAGGTCGGATTCTTCGCCGATGAAGAAGGGAGATCCGACCGAACCTTTGGAGGCTCCGATCTCCCTCCTCCGACGTCGTCTTCGGTTGAAACCACCACCATCGAAGTCACCATGACCGGATCTACAAGGTTGGGTGGTCCACGCGCTCGAATGGTCACCGGAAGGTGAACGGTCACTTGGCAATGACTCTTGGCATTTAGGGGCATTTTGGTAATTTTATAATATAGGTGAATTTTGAATTTGTTTGATTTATTTTAGGTGTTTTGTAGTTTTGTTTTATTTTATTTTACATATGTATGTTAGAAACTTTGAAGATACATAGTTGTGAAATTTATTTTAATATGAGATTTTTTTTTATGATTAACATATTGTATCCACGAGTCTCCTATTTATTAGGGACGGACGATGATTTCGATATTTTTAATTTTTTGAAATTTGTTTCAGTCAATTTTAGTTAATTAAAATTTTAAAGTTTTCTTTAAAAAAATAATAAAAAAATTTTTTTTCGACGAAGTCTCCTATCTAATAGAGGCACGACATGACCAAAAATCTAAACTTCTCGACGAAGTCTTCTATACGATTGGGACCGATGTCACCAAAAAAAAATCATTGTTTTAATTAAGACGTCCTCCGACACATCGGTTGTGTCAATGCTTTTAGTGGATCCGATGTTTGAATCGACGTGTCACCCAACGAAAGGGATCGACGATCGTTTCAATATGATGTCACGTCCAAAACTAAAAAATTCACTTAGTCTAAAAGAAAATAGGAGATTAAAATTTAGAAAAATAGCTTGACATGGATTTTAGGAGATAATTTAGAACTAAACCGTACATGGTACCTTTTTTTAAAAAGGGTGCTTTTAGGTGATTAAATATCTTTCTAAAAGCGTAACTAACTCCTTACCTTAGGAATCTCTAAACCGAGTGCTACTTTTAGGTTCATAGTTCCTTAAATACTAGGTGGCGACTCTAAAACATTGTAAATAATTTTATAAATAATTAACGCTCGGACTTTAATTTACGTAGGAGTCCGTCCAGAGCGTCGTGTAGCGACGGAATGACGACTCCACTAGGGACTAGAGTTAGGCCATAGGTTTAGTTTTTATTTTATCTCCTATGTTTATTTTTTTAATTTTATTTTCTGAATTTTATTTATTTATTTGTGTACATATTTAAATTTTTTTTCGCACTTTTATTTTTGAATTGGGTTGTACGCCTTTTCTTTTAACTATTGCACACACCACGAAGGAAACTCCTAAAAGATGCGGACCAGAGTCGAACCCTAATAGGAATTAGATAGAGTGATTTGGAGGCGAGTATGACGAAAGTCTACTGATGCTCTTCCAAACTCTCGTTCGAGCCGAAACTCACCCTATACATTGGAAATGGTGGAATAACCTTCCCTACCTCCTAATGTATAAGGTTAGAGGCTGGATTACCCCATTGGTAATTTAAGCGATCTAAAGGCTTGAAAAATCTTTAGGACTAGTCAAGCTTTACCCAACCATAGAAAAGCTAGATCTTATCTATTAGGGTTGACCCGAGTTAAGACACGAATCATTCTCGAATGATGTCGATACTCGATCATTGGTAATGACCGAGGTATTTTTATAATTTTCGGTGAAGGTTATCCTTCGTATTAAATCATGATCGAAGAAGTCGGAAATAAGATCGAGGATTTTAGATCGGATTTGAGCGGGCACTGAAATGATGAAGGAGATTGTTTGCCACTTGAATTTCATGTCGAGACTCGTAAAAAAAAAAGAAGAAGAGGTTTTACCCTTCGTGTGCTTATAATAGGAGTGGCTTCATCATTTCAAAATCAAGTCACGATTGAAATTGAGGGCATATATATCTTCCTAATCGCCCAAGTATACGTAGGGTAATTTTACCCTCGGCGAGTATTAGCTCGGTCTAATCCATCCTCGATAGGATTACGTCATGATTTAACGAGCAACAAAATAAAGAAAAGGTTTCCAACCCGAGTTTAAAATTATGCATTTGCATTAAGTATTTATTTGTATATATTTCTTTTGCATATAGTGAAGTAAACATGGGCCGCTCCACTCGATCCCTACGCGCGTCTACAACACTCGACTTCGGACTCGTCAAATAGAGAATGAGGAAAGACCATGACAAGAGCCAATTAGCCGGTAAGAGTTTGACTCGGCTGAAAGAGAGTGTGGCTCGGATGACATCTCTGTTAGAGCAAGCATTAAGAGGGGGAGGTAGATTGAATCAAGGACAACCCGAAGTACCGCATGCTTGTTCCATCACCTCATCGGTCGAGGCCTTCCAATCACGTAACTGTTCATGTCGAAGGTTCACATCCTACTGGGACATTCGCTTATCCCATGGACCCAAGAGTGTCGCAAATGCCTCCGAGTTGATCTTATAGAAGAGGAAGCTCATGGTCCTAGGGTAGTTAAAGGCCCAAGCATGGACGGACTCATGGCATTAGAAGAACACTTAAGAGCAATGGAGGAGGAGGACGCCTACGATCCGATTAGGGCCTTCGAAATGTGTTTGGTGCCCGATGTAGTGATCCCGATGAAGTTTAAGGCGTCAGATTTTGCTAAATATACCGAGACCCGGTGTCCTATGACCCAGCTTGAGGGTATACTGCGGTAAGATGGCGAGATGTTGTTCACGATGAAAAACTACTCATATATTTCTTTCATGAAAGCTTAGGCGGATCGGTATTGAGTTGGTATATGAGGTTAGAGGGGTCTAAGATTAGAGGATGGAAAGATCTAGCTCATGCTTTTCTCAAGCAATACAAGTTTAACATAGAAGTGGCTCCGAATCGTTCGGATCTCCAAGGTATGGGAAAAAGGGCTAAAAAGACCATTAAGGAGTATGCGCAAACGTGGCGCGAGGTAGCGACTCAAATCCATCCACCATTATCAGAATATGAGTTAATCTCGATATTTTTGAATACTTTCAAAGCACCCTACTTTGAGTATTTGATTGGTAATGTTTCAACCAACTTCATCGATATTGTTATCATAGGCTGAAAGGGTGGAGCAAGCAATTAAAGGCTGGAAAGATTTACGAAAAGATAAAGGGCGATGGTAACAAGAGAATAGATGAGGAGATACATCGAGTTGGGACTGGATTTTATCCATCAAAAAATCGAGGGAGTAACCAAAGAAAGCATAAAAACCATGATAGCTACGACCAAAGACCTTCATTCACCCAATATACCCTAACCCAATAAACACCATGAACCAAACATACCCATCAAATCAATCGAACCCATCCTGCATACCTCACCAAACTTACCAAGTAAATCAATTCCCTCAAACTACTACACATTTTCAAAATCCACCAACTCACAACTAAGACTACAAAAAAAAACTAGAGCAACTACCACTCTTACCTATCTCATTGGGTGAGATGTTTGAACATCTAGTGAGTACTAGACTGATTACCCCAATTCCCACCAAACCAAAGCTCCCTCCTCATCCCGTATGGTACCAACAAAATAAACGTTGTGAATATCATTCGATGCTATTGGACACAATATCAATAAATGTCCTACTTTCAAGAAGAGACTTTTGGCTTTGATTAAGAAAGGATGGATCAACCTTGATAGCTTTTCAAATACTCATGATGTGAGCATGGATCAAGCTGCCAAGCCATACGAGTTGCCAACGCATGGAATGAAGAAATGGCGTGAGCACTGAAAGATATGGTGATGCTGCACGCTCATCGATCCGCAAATGTCATCTTTTAATTTTGTCGGTTTTTGAAAACTATGTTTTGAATATTTTGGTTA